CTATAAAAAAATGTCGCCCAAAATCGGTATTTTGGCCGCAGATATGCAGATGAAGGAGTTGAAATTTTAACAAAATAATTACGCCAATATTAGCGCTGTTCCAAAAACTGTCATAAAAGGTATGATATTACAATTTCAAAAATATTGCGTGAAGCCTAGTATATACATATGTACATATGTAATAGTATCATTCTACATAATATCATTGGGTATTTTTATTTTTTTTTCCGAACTACACATATGCATTAAAAAATATCGTTTATTATTTTATACCCTTTTTTAATGTGGCAACGCTATTTTGAATATGTACAAATAAAATAAACTTCATACATCTCGTTAATTGTCAAAAAATAAAATTGAAACAACCTTCTATATTTTTTAAATCATGGCTACTACTCCATTTGTAGTTTATGTTTTATTTAGAACTATTTCTACTGCTACTCTTTTATTACTACTGCTATATTTTGAGATTTACTTTTGTATAAGTAGCAATACAAATGCTACTGCTACAACTTCAGACAATTGTTTGGAGCAGTAGTTAAAGCAATAATATAATACTTGGTAGCAACGTAGTTTTTCTAACACTGGTAATGGGCATTAAAGTCATTTTTTGGAGGGGACCATATATTATATACCGATCCTCATAAATTTGGTAGGGAGAATTTTGCTCATATTAAACTTATTTATGTTGAATTTCATCGCTATACTCGCATTTTTAAAACAGTTATGACTGTGCGAAAACGTGGCCCATTTTCAATACCAAACAAACCTTTCATATAAGAAATATTTCAACTCTCTAGCTCATTCCGTTCGTACTCAATCGTGTTTTCAACAGACAGGCGGACAGACATGGCTAGATCGTCTTAGAATTTAATAAGGACCCAGAATATATATATAATTTTGTGGGTCTATGATCAATATTTCGATGTGTTACAAACGGAATGACAAAATCAATATACCCCTCATCTTTTTTAATGGTGGGTATAACAACTTACCCATTTACATCAAACCAAAAATAAAAACTATTTACAAAAATAAAAACTATGACAAATAAAAAATTTACATCCCAATTTATTTAATTTATGTAATAATTTTTGTCTGTTTCAGATATAAAAGCAAATAAAAATTTTTTCACTTTGAATTTTTTCTTTTCTCTTAACGTTACTTTACTATGTTTCAAAAAATATTTTAAGGTGTTGGAAATTGATTTCGGGAACCTTTCTTATTTTATTTGCTGTTTGGAAAATAGGCTGCAAAATTGAGTTTTTAAATTTTATTATTTTTTATAACTATTATATTATTTTGAATGTGTATATTGAAGAACTTTTATTTATATTGGTTAAATATCTTAGAAAAATTCCTAAAATTATAAAATTGCATTTTTGCAAATAATTAACGAGTTACAAAATACTATGAATTTCTAAACGTTTGAGATATTTGTCTAAAACTCTGTAAACGCAATCGACTTCTTGGATTTGTGAAAGAAGAATTTCTGAAAAATACATACATTCGACCTGTAAATAGTCTGACAAAAACTTTAAAATTGCTGTGGACACCATATCGTACATATCGTCACATGAAATCCAAAAGGCCCTAAGTTACACAAAAATCAAAATCGACTTTTTGATTGATTATGATACACCGTATCAAAATACAAGTTCCTGCTAAATTTTACACTCCTACAATTAAAATTAACGTTCCCATCAACGAAATTCTAAAAGATTATGTTCTAAAACTACCTTAAAATTCATGAAAATTTTAAAATTCATTTGAATTTTTAACTTCGAAACTATAAAATTTTATAAGTTGGCATCAAATTTGTCAATAAAAATAAGCTTGACTTGAGAAAATTTTGAAAGTAGCCCCGTTTAAGAGGAAGTTGCCGAAACTTTAGTTGAGAAACTTAAGCCTTTTGCAAATTTAATTCTCGAAGAAGTCTCTTCCTGTGCTAGAAAGGGGAAAATTATATTTTTTTATTAGTACTTTCCACAAATGAAGAATTTATTCCACATTTTGTACTTTTTCGTTCTTCAAATGATAACACCGTCCGACAAAAAGAGAAAAATTCGTTAGGCACGAACCGGATAATATACTTCTGGAATTATAAATTTAATGGAGAAAAACTGCTATTTTTGTTTTTTCATTTCGTGATCCTGAGTCCTTTTTAAAGGACTTCACAGATTTAAAAAGTACATATTTCAAAAATACTTTAAAATACATACATCTACTGATCAAACAATGTCAAATTTGATTTCAAGCGAACAAGAAAAGTTGGAAAATATTTTGTATTATTTTTATTTTATACTGTCAGGATAAAGTATGATGACACGATATTGCATATATTCCAATTATTTGCTGTTAAAATCAAAAAGTATATTCACTTCAAAGTCGTGTCGCCACCAGTTAACATAGTCCTATCGTCCGAAATATTCGTAACTTCTGTTAAATTCGTTTTGAGGACTGATGCACGGTGAAATCTGTAATTCGGGATAAGTTCGGTGCTTTAGCCGAAGTCAACAGATACCCCACAGAGGAGTGACTGTGGGACTAAGCGTTGGAAATGAGTTGGTGTTAAGTGTATATGATACAGAATGAATATAGGAGTATACAAATCTTACGCGCCCGAATACCTAGAGTGAGTGTGTAGGATGTTGTTCTCTATGAGTGTGTCGATTGAGTGAGTGTGCTGGGTTGAAATGTGATTAATGAAAGGTATCTTATATATACATTGAATTGAATTTTCCTTTCTTGTCCGGGTATGTTCAGGGAAAATTCTGTTCATACTAGATTTGCTACAGTGTGTTCTCTGTGCGTAAGAACAAAGTCCTAGGCTTATTTGATGGATTCGTGTTTCGGACTACCGAGTACGTGTCTAGGTGCTGTTGCCGACTCAACAGAGGCCATCCCATCTGCGTGGTTAGAAACGGAAGTGATGTGTTTGCATCTCGAAAGTTAAGCAACGCGGCAGCAATGGTCAGAGATTAGATAGCTCGATTACTTAAGCAAAGTACTTGTACATGGATCGGCAGAACCATGTACAAAAATTGCCACCCGCGTGTAAGATACATAAAGGGGAGTTCGTTACAAAAGCTCACCCTGTGAGTGAAATAGACCAACTCGGCAGGTGTTCACGTAAAGCACTTCGACTTCTATTTACGGGAACTAAAATATCAAAATATTGAAACTGGTTTGTGATACAAATTTTTTATTGTCATTTTCGCAATAAGCGCATCAAATAATACTAGGATTAGTTAAAATTATTTAAAAAGTTGTTTCATCGTTGGTTCGGTATTTTTCATACACTGCTCGTTAATCGATTCAAAACTATTTTAAAATATATTTTTATAAAATAAATAATGTCAATGTAAAGAGCCGCACATGGTTCACGTGCGGTAGTTTATTTTGTCTAATGTCTGTACCTATTACTTTTTAATTCAAATAATTATACCGTGATCTATGATAATGTTTTGAACATTGAAACTTTTATGAGGAGTCTGCCTACAACTGCAGCTAAACACATAATTGCGATAGTTTTTAGTCACTAAATCGTAACATGTTTTTAATAAACTACACCACTTTAGTGAGTGGGTATATTGGGTTTGTGCTGATTTTGGTAATGCACAATAATATTGGTCTTATATTCGACTTTAAGCGTACCAATCGTATACTTAATATAGTCGTCCGATTATAATTTCTCATTTGTTTTCCTGTATATCTTCTAAAATAATTACTTTATTTCTGAGTGTATTGATGTATACACTGGTAGCTCTTCTACACATTATTTTGTATATGCAATTCACGCCCAACTGCCATCAGTTGGTCTGATTGTACTTTCTACTATCGGTTTATTATTTTCAGCTGTCTTACCAATAGGTTAAATGTACATAATTTCGAATTTTAGATTCTTAATTGTATCAGATAGCTTCCGTATTTTTGTAATTTTCTTCTATATATATTTATTTAGAGAAATTTATCAATTTCTACATTAATTTCTGATACATTCCAGTAACAGTATGCACCCTTCCATTAGAACAGATATACATATCTCTGCAATCTGAAGAAGTTTGGGAAATTTTAATTAGTGTATTTTTCAATATAATTCTTTTAAAGTTCTTAAAATACCATACATACATACATATGTATATTTGTATGTAAGTACGTACAATTGTAACATTTTAACCCCACTTTCGTTAAAAAGCTACACGATTTATTTGGCCATTTATTAAAGAAAACACATTTGAACAAGTGAGTGAGGGTGATTACAATAATTACAACTTTATTTTGAAATTGTTGAAAAACAAAACCAAAAAAAAAAAAAAAAAAAAAAAACAACAAATTACATCATTAAAAGTTGTTGTCTTGTTGGGCAACAAAGTGAATTTTTATATTTATAATAGGTAATTTTTCTAAATACAAAACAACCAAAAAGAAAAAATACAACCATGTATGAGTATGAATTTATTATAAAAGTTTTTTCTCTATTTCCCTTTCCTTTGGTCATATTCTAAGTACAAAAACGACTGACTATACCTAACTCAGTTGTTGTTATTGTACAATTCAATGTCAAGGTCTTATTCTCATTTATCTTAATTTTGAAGAATGAAAGAAAAAAAAACAAAAATAATAAAAAACAATTAATTAACAAACAAAATTGTGGTAATTTTTTTCTCCAAGAAAAAAATGAAAAAAATTTATTCTATAGGATGAGTAAGAGTATGTTTGTTTTGGAAAATGTAAATGATTTGTTGTTCTAATTTTATTTTTCTTATTTATTTGTGTGTGTATGTATACACTGATTAAATTAAAGAAAAGCTAAAAGGAAATCGATTTATGTTCATGTATGTGTAAATATACACATACATACATATACTCATGTTGGCAAAATTTGCAATTTTAAAGACAAAAAAAAACACAAAAATTTATTATTTATTACGTTTTGTATTGTTTCGTTTATTCAACTGTTTACCTCTTTCTGTATATTATTCCTTCCATCTTTTCAGACTCGTTTGTTAGAAGATGCATCCCTTTTATGCAATTCATGGTCAGCACGCCAGAATGTAAGTTAAGACAAGAAATGTTTTCTTTTTTTAAACTATAAAAATACATAAAAAACAACATAAAAAGGAGCTTTTACTCTTGTTGTTTTGTTTGTTTCTGTTCGGTTTGCTGCTGATGTTTTAAGCAGAACTCATTAAAAATTAATTTAAAAAATACATGCATGAGTGTGTATATATTTTTATGATACATACACGAATATGAAGTGTAAAAACACGTAAATATGTACCCTGCGGCTCAAAATGTTACAATTGTCAACTTTACATACATAGCTGCATATACAGTGAAAGCTCTTTCCGTAGGCAAACATTAACCATCGCCAGAGTTTTTTTCGGTCATGTGAGAATACCAACATTGTATATGTAGATTATTTTAATTAAGATACCTTGAAATTCGGTAGTATTATCCTTCATGTTCCGAACCCGTGTCCTGTTAATGTTTAACTAAGGTGTTTTCGAGGAGACACATTAACGATGACAGGAAATTTAATGGTGTCACTTTTAATCACAGCACCGAACTTATCCCGAAATATAGATTTCACCGTATATCAGTATTTTAACGGGACTTCTCCAATAACCGGAACAGGACTATGTCCGATACTCTGCTCTACGGGCTACCGGTTCCTATGGTATCACATAAAATATAGGGTCTGTGGTTAGAACCCAAGTCAAATCATTCCACAGTCACTTCTTGAGGGGCATCTGTTGTCTTTTAGGCAACTGTACTAAACTTATCCCGAAATATAGATTTCACCTTGTATTAAGTTTTTAACCAGCATTCTTTTCCCACGATTTTCGGTTCAAACCAATCAACAGTAAGGTACCCGGACCCTTACGGCTAGCTGATCCCGTGTTACCAAATAAGATAGGTTCTCTGGTTTGACATTAGTTCAAATTATTCCAAGGAAAGGTCGAGGATACATTTGACCTCTTTGACCCTGATTGCATTCACAGCAAGATGGGGAAGAGGTAACATGACCCTGGAAGGAAAATGAGTGTTTTGCATTTATATTCTTGCTAAAGTTATGCATCCAAAAATATAACAAATGCATATCGTCCAAAAGTTGCACATTGCTGATTCCATTGTGATACCCTACCAGTTTCAGAAATTTATACTTAGGTACTATGCTTCCTTATTAAGCCAGTCGATTCCACTTAAGAATATGCTTAACATTTATCCTAGATGTGCCTTCGCTTCCACTTGATTATGACAATTTCCACTGGGCACATTATATCACAACCATAACCTCCATACCAAGAAAGGTGAGGTTCTTACCCAATTAAGGCAGAAAGCAGAAAAAATAACGGAATGCGTAAATTGGATTAGAATAAATATGGCTCCAAAAGGGCTTAACATATTTACCGAAAGCCAGAAGGCAATTAGGCGATATCAGGTGATAATGTTAAATCTAAAACCATATAGGATTGTAAAAAAGATGTAAGCGAATACTCTCTCAGAGCTAAAGATCACATCATAGGGGTACCAGGCCACTCGGTAGTAGTCGGCAAAGGAAAAGCGAATGTAATAGATTTATAGGGAAGGGAACTCGAGGTAGTTAACCTGACGAACGCAGAACCATTTGACGCAACGAGGGCAGAATTAAAATTATGGGCCAGGGAAACCCATAAGGCCTCTTGGAATAATGAAACCATGACGAGAAGCCTCCTCAAAATGAACAAGTCTAAGGTTAGTATGATGGTACGTATTCTGAGTGGACTCGCAGGATTACGGGCACACCTATACAAAATTGGACGGGCGGATTCAGGCGAATGTAGAGCATGTAAAGAGGACACTGAAACTCTGGAGCACTTTCTGTCAGGCTTTCAGCGAAATTCGATCCAAATATCTTGGAAGTGATATCATTCCGGATATAATATCACTCACGAACACTGATTGGAAAATTCTTAGGAATTACGTCCAGGATACAGAGTTTCTGAACATCAGACGATAATACATTTAGTGAATACTATATAAGGTTTTTTTATTTTTACCAACAAACATTTTGCTTAAAAAGGAGCTCACAACAGGCCCGATAGTGACCTAGTATTTCTTCGGATTTGATATAGATACATCCTCCTATCAACCTAACCTAGCCAATTGAAGTGTGAGAATAGGTTAAGATCGTTGCGACCCTAAGGCCTCTAATCATTCTCTTTACCAGATAAGATTATTTTAATATCTCAATAAAGAAACCAATTAAGCTAGATGGTAATTAGTTTAACATTGTTAGCAGTGCTTTTATTGATTGTGTTTACAGTAAATCTATAAAACAAAACAAAAATATAAATGTTTGAAAAGCGTCGATAAACCTTAAGTTATAGGTTAAAAACTGACTTTTGTAAACTTTGACGCCAATATCTCGCTTAGTATACATGGAATTAATGGAGACTTTTGGCGCCTAACTAAGACGAAGCCCTGTGCCAATTTTCATTTAGCTATCTAAAATTTTCCAGTGTGCTGATTTCTTGGGCTAGAGTACATGATAGATTAGTTTTGGACCAGTCCTTTGAGTAGTACTCTTTACACGTGTGTGCGGAGTATTCCTAATTTTTGCATAGGTTTTAGGCGTGCACACTTTTCAATTTTTTCAAAACATTTTTTTGGAAATTGCTGGTTTACTGTTAACAAATTTCAAACTTTGTTTATATTTTTACATTTTTAATAAAAAAAATCTGCATACAATTTCGTGTCAAATGACCCAACTCAAAAAATCGATTTGGATGCAATTTGTACCAAAAATTGCCCAAAGGAGTTTATATAGCTATATCTTCAATGTTTTTATACCCTCCACCACCATCAGTGGTGATAGAGGGTATATATAACTTTGTCATTCCGTGTGTAACAACAAGAAATATTCATCTGAGACCCACCAAAGTATATATATTCTTGGACCTTATGAAATTCTGAGTCCATTTAGCTATGTCCGTCTGTCCGTCCGTCTGTCTGTCTGTATAAAACATTCTCACGTTAACACGAAGCAACAAAAATTAACGAAATTCACCCAAAATATTTATTATTGTCCTAGGCAGTTTGGTATTGAAAATGAGCAAAATCGGTTCACACCGGGAAAAGTTAAGAATCGAATTTTAAACAACCTCGAAAAAATAAGCATTTTTTACACATTCTGATGTAATTTTCTCGAAAACTATGAAAGATAATTCAATGAAAATCAGCATACATTCGTTTCTACACAAGAGCTTGACTCCTGCTAAAAATTGTCAGAATCGGTCCACAATTTCATATACCCCCCATACAAAAGTACATATTCCCGGAAAATGGGTTTTTGTTAATAACTTCCGTCACAATGTCGAAATCTTTACAAAATTTTACAAATTAAAATCTTATGTCAATAGAATTTATTCAGAGAAAAAAATTTCTGGGTCGGTCCATAATTGGTCATAGCTCCCATACAAGGTCCCCTCCCGAAAATAACTTAAACGCAAATATTTCATTTCTAAATCAAGTTATCTATATAAAATTTGGTACAAGTATTGCCCTCACATACAGAAGTATTACTGTGAAATTTTTTTTCCATCGGTCCATAATTGGTCATAGCTCCCATACAAGGTCCCCTCCCGAAAATCACTTAAACGCGCATAACTCACTACTAACATAAGACATCCATATAAAATTTGGTACAAGTATTGCTCAAATGCACAGAAATATTACTGTGAAATTTTTTTCCGATCGTCATAGCTCGCATACAAGGTCCCTTCCAGAAAATCACTTAAACGCGCATAACTCATTACTAAATTAAGTTATCCATATAAAATTGGTACAAGTATTGCTCATATGCACAGAAATATTACTGTAAAATTTTTTTCCTATCGGTACATCCTTGGTCATAGCTCCCATGCAAGGTTCCCTCCCGAAAATCACATAAACGCACATAACTCATTACAAAATATTGATATCCATACATTTAGCACAAATATTGCTCTTATATACATAAATTACACTATAAAATTTTTTTACGATCGGTCCATACTTGGTCATAGCTCTCATACTAGGCCCCCTCCAGAAAATTACTTAAATGTACAATATTCATTACCAAATAATGATATAGATACAGAATTTTGAAATTTTGCTTTTATATACACAATTGGTCATAGCTCCCATACAAGGTCCTCTTTCGAAATCCCTTAAATGCACATTACTCATTACCAAATAAAGCTATTGATACAAAAATTCTATTTCAAGATGTTTGCACGATCGGTTCATAACACACATTACTTATTACTAAATTACGATATAGATACAAAATTTTACTGAAATATAGCTTTCATGTCCAGAATTTTTGCTTAAAGAATTTTTTACGATCGGTCTATAATTGGTCATATCTCCCATACTAGGACCTGCCCCTAAAACCGTATTTAACTAGTTGCATTATCAATTTGTGTAGAACAAAATTATATATATATTTTGAAATCCTTAAATCTTTCACGTATGCATATACATGCAAATTAATAAAAATCGCCTTCAATAAATCTTGGAATTGTAATAGATTTGAGCTGTTTGAATCTAGGGATTTTTCTATTTAAGATATGATAAAACTTATTTCTACAAATATTTGATCAATTAGAAAAGTATTAATATAAAAGTAGCTGGTGGAGGGTATTTAAGATTCGGCTCAGCCGAATATAGCACTCTAACTTGTTTTTTTTTCAAATTTATTTTTTTGGGTTGGGTCACTTGACACGAAATTGCCTATATACATACATATGTATGTACATTAGGGATATAACTATTGAAAATTTTTCAAATATGTTAAAAACATTCATTCACCAAATGTCTGTCCGTCTGTTTATCAAAATTAGTTTTTTGGAGACCCCATAAAACCAGTAAAATCTGTAAGTATCCAAGATATGATTAAAACAAATATCACCAACAAATTACAACTCGTTTGGTGCGGGAATGTTGAGTTTCTTATTATTTTAGATCATTGGCGGCCAAACATGCCCCTGCGGGCATTGTGTTCATGTTCACTCATACACATGCAATA